CACCAAGAGGCCACCGCCTCTATAGACGGGCGCCCTTCGGCGCTCGCCTGTGTCGTCACCCCTTTTTGTGGTGAATACACTCCTACGTGGTAGCTGACGCGCTATCTCGTGCCCCTTGTTGTCTGCCGAGAACCTGGATTTCGGTGCGACGGCCGCTCGCGGTGCCTTAGCACATGCAAGCGTCGGGGGCGAAACAGCAGCTTCGCCGCCATTCGGCGAGAAGGGTGAGTCCCCATGCGGACAAACCTTGGCTGCTAACCAGGTAAGCGGCGCACCGCGAAGCGGCCGAGCGGGGGAGCTTTCCGAAGGCCACGAGGCCGAGAGCGAACCCGTAACGCCGACTCAAGAGGTTGTTGCTGCGGTCCTGAGTGGGCGCGATACCAGACTCCCCCATTTGGGAGAATGGGAATCGCTTTCAGCAGCGAAGAGCTACTGAAGGCTCAGCAAAGTGATCCGTTTCGAATCTCAGAGGGACGGAGCGCCGTATACGCTGCTTGCTCTGCGGCGGGCGCCGTTAAACCGTCTTGACGAGGCGCCGAGCGCCGTTACGCTGCTTGTTCTGCGGCGGGCGCGATTAGGGGGCTGAAACAGCGTGTGTCGCTGAGTCCCCGGCGGATTCATTTTGCTGGACCATGACGGGCTCCTGCTGAAATATATAGCCACTGACGACGAGTCCGTAGACCCGTTTAAGGTGGTTATGCCCAAAAGTCTGAGAGCCGCACTGTTGCGATCCTCTCACGACGAATCCATGGCCGGTCACCTGAGTGGCTCGAAAGTTTTTGCAAACTGAGCGATGTTGTGACCTGGCCCGGCACGAGGCGTGGCTTTTATCGCTATTCCGTGCCTGCCACGTCTGACAAACGGTTGAGCCAAGGGTTGGAAAGCCGCCCGGTCTTATGAACCGATTGTCAGTGAGCGTCCGTGGCGCGTACTAGCTGAAAGATCCCCTTTGGGAAAACTCAACCGTGCCCACATCGTAGACCTGAAACCCTTTGTATCACGGTCTGACGAGCTCGCGCCAGAGCACTGCGCGCCAGCAACGGGGCACACCCGAAGCGGCGGACCGCATTCGGACCCCGCGCCGGTATAATCTGAGGAAGCGGTCACCTTTGTGATTTCGCGCCGGACGGCGGATTTCTCCGCAACCGAAGGCCCTCAGTTTTACTGTCTAGCCTCAGTATAGGTTAGCTTCTTTACGGCCTTTTCTCGTAAAGAAGTTGACCCCGCCCTGTCTGCTGCCAGTGTTTCTTTTTTTTTTTTTTTGAAGTGTTCATGTGTATTTTATGTTTTTGTCTAATATTAAGTGTTATTTGTGTTTTATGTTTTTGCCAGATGTTGAGAGTCGTTCTTGCGCTGTTTAGTTTTTGTCGTGTTCGTTTCCTCTACCGCGAAGGGAGCTGTGTGTGACCTTGTGTGTCGGTGCTTGCCGGGAGAGAGAGAGACGAAGGACGCTTTGCGCCTACGCTCGCGCAGCTGTCGGCGGTGTGTGTGTGTGCTTCCGTGCGTGTGTAAGTGCGTGACGCTTCAGTGCGAGCCCGCGAAGAGTGCGTGATGGCTTCCCCCCATCGATGCGGACGCTGGAGGTGCTGGGGGGTCATTGACCCATTGACATCAGACCGTCTGGCTGTGCTCTGCTCTCGGCCGCCGTCGAAGAAGCCCTGCTGCCGTTCCCACCATGGCTCCTGCGCGAGGCCAGCTGAAAGCAGCTATATGCTGCCGGCCAACGCCAGGGCGCCTCGCAGCCAATTCGGGTTCGGCCTCCCTGACCACCGGAGAGGCCCGGCTTCCCGCAACGTCCAGCTCCCTCATCGAGCCAGAAATGCGGGGCCTCCGAACAACCGAAGCGGCTTTCGTCGGACTCGCGGCTTATCAAGAGCAGCAACAAGCCATCAGTGAGCCCCCTCCCGTATCTCTGACCTCGCACTCGGGCATCGCACCCAGCGGACACTGTCACGCCCTTTTCCGCAACTCCGCGCAGTGGACGCTATTCCCGCTTCAGCCCCACGAACACTAATCCCACTTTTCTGTGCTCCCTTCCGCAGTTATCTTTATAGTGTCGTGTGTTTATTTTGTTATTTATGTTTTTGTTTCTCCTTTGTAATCATTTTTTTTTTAAAGTAGCAGGGCTGGACTGAGGTTAGCTGTAGCTCATAGCAGTGTCATTTTAACTGCATGGGTGACGTCCGGCTGCCTTTTGCAGACCGGTAAAGGGCAAATTTAGGAGGGGGGGATGTGGGAATTGAGGCTGGCCCGCTGCCTTTGCGCGGGCTTTCCCGCCTTTTCTGCCATTCTCATGTCCCGACATGTCTGCCCTCCTTGGCCGTCAGCCGCGCTGGGAAGGGCGGAGTGACGTTTAACTCCCTCACCCGGTAGCGGATGTTGACTGTGGCGCCGCGCGGGGAGCCTCCCGAGAGGTTTTCGCGCGCTGCGTCGGGAGCGGTGAGTACAGTCCGGGACTTCAAACGGTGAGCCACGCATTCTTTTCCGTCCGTCGAGTCCCGTCGCTCGGGGCTCGTCGGACTTCGCCGACGGCGCCTCGCGCCCGAGGCGAACGCTCACCTTTTGTTGCCCCGCTGCGTACTCACGGCCGAAGGGCAGTACGGTGTCCTAGTGCGTGGCCTAGCTACGCCGACCCGTCTCCCTCCGAAGCCAACGCGAGCGCCTTTGCCCTCGCTCGAGCAACCGGGCCCTTTGTCCCGGTGTCTCCGTGGATCACCTTTACCGCGGAGACGTGCTCGTGGCACCCTGTGTAGTACTTTGTGCCCGTGGCGTGGATAAGCCTACTTGCTTTCCCGCCGCGCCTTTTTGCAACGGGCTGTACTGCGTTTGGTGTTGCCACAATAAAGTGTTGCGACTTGAGCAGTATCGTGTTTCCCGCCACGGCGACGGTTAACGCGTGCCCTGCGGCTCGCTAAGACCGGACCCACGCTGGTGGCCGTACTCCTTTGGGATACGTGTACACCACAAGCTATGCCGCTGTCAAAGACATGTACGGAAAGGACAGTGTGCAGAAACTGGAATGTATTGGGCATGTCCAGAAGCGTGTTGGCTGCCGCCTCAGAAAACTGAAGAAGACAGTGTGTGGACTTGGTGGTAAGGGAAAGCTCACTGATGCCCTCATTGACCGCCTGTAAAACTATTATGGCATCGCCATAAGGGCTAATGTGGGCAACCTGTCTGCAATGAAAAAGGCTACCCTTGCCAGTCTTTTTCATTGCAGCTCTACCAACAAGCCGCCGAGACATGGCCTGGGTCCACTTGGACCGAAAAGCTGGTGCAGATACCAAAGGGTCGAAGCACTCGGCCAAGGGAAATATGTACACTAAGGAGGACTTCCAAATGATCTGCTCAACAAAGTTAAAACTGTCTACAGTGATTTCTGCTCTGATGAATTTCTAACGAAGTGCCTTCATGGAAAGACTCAATATGCTAATGAGTTTTTCAATGGTCTCATATAGCAGCGGGCACCCAAAGAGGTCTACGTAAGCTTGCCTACAGAAATGTTTGCCTTGCATGAAGCTGTGGCACACTTTAATAATGGCAGTGTAAGCACCCTAGATATCCCGAGGCAAGCTGGCATAGAACCAGGGTACCACACGACGAAAGCTTGCATCGCCAGGGATCACCTGCGCATGCAGAATGCTAAACGCAAGTCAGTGAATGGGACAAAACAGGCCAGGAAGAAAAGACTAGCAGCCACCCGAACAAAAGGAGACAATAATGCTTCCGCAGAAGGGCCCAGCTATGAATCTGGTGCATTTTAGGCCTGCACGCCAAGATTGTGACCCTTTTTACAAGCTCGGAAATCTTTGTTTACGTTTTTCTGAAAATAACAATTTGCTCCAAATGTTGCGACGCAAACTTTCACAACGTATTTCTAAGGGTATACTTTGAACTGAAATTTTTCACAATGATTTACAACATATATATCGGTGCAGTGAACTAGAATAAAAGAAATCCATCGAATATTTGTCAGTTCACAGCTGAATTCTCCAACAGGTTCAGTGTAAATTGGCTCTTTTTCCCCATTTTTGGTGGGATTTTTTTTAGCATTACTTCCTTGATATTCACCACATAGCTCCAGCCATTAGTTACACAAATTTCAAAGCTTTACTGAACAAAGCCACCTATTAGTCACTTATCACAGCTAGCGTGGCTAGCACTTTTAATGCAATTTTTGACAAAGATTACCTCCCAATAAATAAATATCCAATATTTTGCACTGTAAATACCTCGGTAAATTAAATAAGACATGCTGGTTCTTAGGAAAAAGTTATTTCAACGCTGCCTGCCCTTAAAAAATTTTTGTTTTTGAGTGGCCTACCACCTCAAAGCATGCGACCCATTACGTAAAATGCAGCAGTATGCGAAAACTTCACTGACACAAGCCAATTTGAACTCCGAACCCACTAGAGACAGGATATCACTATCGTATTCAACTTAAAGGCAGAGCATAAGAGTCCCCCAATTTTTTTCGCAGTTTTATTTTGCGGTCCCGAACAGCCTAGATTTTTCCCTCAAAACCAACGTCGCCAATGCCGGCATTCCGGCAAAGTGAGCTTTAATGCTGCCGCATTAAATTTGGAGCCGGCAAGTATACACAGGAACACCACTTGGACATAAAGCACGAACAACAAATCTGCACTAAGTGGCCTTGAAGGAGAACGTGGTGACAGTGGTGCGCGCGTTTTCTCTTCTCTGCTACCCGACTTTTATGACAGAGGGCGCGTCAGTGCTGTGCTCGATTTTGCGACTTTTTCAGGACGCCCGAGCGAGCGCAGTTTCACTTTCTCAAGAGTTCTTACTCCGTAACTACATTTGTGCAGGTAGCTCTCTGACTGCTCAAGGTCACTGTGACATGATGAACAAGCGTGGGAGACATGATCTATTAGAGTGAGCCTTCGTTAAAAAAAGAAGGAAGCCTGCACTGCAGCTGCTGAAGAAGGCACATGATGTGCGAGAAGGGATAGCTGTCAGTTCAAAACGCCAGAGGCCCTCACCAGGTCAGCCCTGGAGGCCGCAGTGGCCGCCTTAGCCCCTTCCAATTCAACTTGGCAGGTGCCCAGCTCAGATGCTGCAAAAACAGAGCATACAGTGTTTTTTTGTACACTTAGCTATTGATACCACTCAATGGTGTAATTTCACTTTACGCGTGAACAAAGGCCCGCAGTGCGAAGTGCTCAAATATTGACAGCTTGGCATTACTTGGTCCTATTAGGGACCAAGTAATGCCAATTCTTCAATTGTCAATTACAGCAGCTAACCACAAACTTTTCCTGCTTAACTTCATTTTGATAAAATTTATTATTTTTAACAAAATAAAGCCTAAAACACAAGCCTAAACAAAACACTGGATGTAACAAAAAAAAATATCTGGTTTGTGCGAGACTCAAAATGCAAAGCAAAACTTTTTTTTTTTTTCATGTGGTTGTGACACCGGAAATTTTGTTTAAAATGTGGAAATGCCTGTCTTCTAATAAATGCAAACAAAGGCCCATTTTCTGAAGCAAGCTGTGTTTTGTTGCAACTTCCCGTTCTCATGTTTTGATATGCTTAGTCTGAAATGCCACAAAAAGACTGGTAAGTATTATCTCTTATATAGTGGGTTTGAGGACTAGAATAACTTGTTTCTTTATCTGGAATTTCCTTGTGAGCAATATTGACAATTTGTTTATGCCAATTTCTATCCGGTATTAAAACCAATATCGAATTTAACACACCATTTATGGTCCAAATGCTACTTTGTTATAAACAGGTTCAAATGTAGAGCATAGGCTCTTAAAGGAGCACTGACATCAATTTACTCATGCCAAGATTTTAGCGTCAGCCAGTAGCTATAGACCCCATAGCAGCGATTCGCCACCTAAAACGCAACTGAGGGATGAATAACTAACACTTTTATTGATTTATATTACTATGATCTAGCACTATACAAAAACGCCCGGCAATCCCACCATTTTTAGTGCTGGGAGCACCAGCAGTGGCACTACCTCGCGGTCACCTCCAGATCACACCACAGCTGACCACTTCACAGAAAAAAGTGACGTCAGGCTCAGCTGCTCCGCAAGCGTTTTGTCTGCTAGGTGGACACATTCAGTCATGCCTTGTCACCTGCATTGCTGTCGTCGCCGTACAAAGTATCGACTCTGGTTCAATACAGAAGTTTGGAGCTTGGAATCCGCGCGATGCGCAACATCGCGAATTATTTTTGTTTCGATCGACCTTTTGCAGAACAGTTATTCCGAATTGGACACCGTTCCAAGCAGCACTGCAGAGGTGCCCAAGGACGCACGCTTCAACCATGTTCGCTCGTGTGTCTCAGTTAGCTATATTGGTGTGTTTTGGCGTGCAAAGCATTCAGGTATACACAGAGGGGTCAAGCAATATAGCTATCGCGAATGAGCATCAGAGGAGAAATAGAATACGTTTCCTGCTTGTCAGGTTCTTTTTTGCACCTCCAGATGGCCTCACCTATCCAGCCTCTCGCCCTTGACACTGTATTACCACTTTTACGTGGACGCAAAGTCTACAGATGAACTAAAATTCAACAATACCTGCATGTTACTTGTTAGCGATGATATCGGACTACACGCTCTTCTACTTTTAATAGCTTGTGGACGTGTAATACATATGTGATATGAAAAGACACCCTCATTGTGCTTTTTCCGTGCTTCGAACTAGATGACTGCAACTCATCTGCAACTCAAACGATTTCTCGACACGCTGACCGACAAGCAAATGTTTAATCATGCTTCTTTCTTTCGCCATTCTTTTAAAGGTGATTTTTATCTTGATAATTTCACGAAATCATTCAAACCGCTGCACTGAAGATCAGACGCGACGCGCCACGGCCGGGCTAGACTGCACCTGCGCGCGCTAGCTCGGCCCTCACCCAGCCGTGGACAAGCGAGTGCATTTCTGCACTTCGGTGTCAGTCGGCGCCACGATAAGAACACTCATATCGTACATGTCATCGCTACTAGGGCATCGTCACTCAGGATGGTATTTGTGGAATGTATCACACTGAACATGTAGCACTAGTGTTGATGTCGCAGGGCAGTCTATTTTTCGTTTTTTTTTCTCCTTAGCTTTTTTACGCTGTTTGACATCGAATTAAAATAATTTCCACGCGACGGATGCCATTCAAATTTGGCCAAGAAGACCTATGCATACCAAGCGATCGAATGATGAGCACATCTAGATCTTGAAATTTGATGTCAGTGCTTCTTTAAGAGATCAGAACAATGGTAGTGATGTTCTCCGCCACCACCAGCGATGTCTGTGACAGCTATCGTGCACGATGAGAAAAAGAAGAAAAAATATTCAAGCTAATATCAAACCCAGGCATGTGACATAGCACTCAGCTATTCTACCACAGCTACACCAGTGCCAGAAACTGCTTAAGGAAAAAAACAAAAACTACATAAGCATCATGCAATGCGAGAAGCCCCTATAGCACGTGTAGTATTGCCTGGAAGAAGCATAGAAATGCACCATGCTATGTGAACTGTGCAATGAGTGGGTAGTTTGGAGGCACACTGATCACAAAGTGCTTATGCATAAATGATCCCCATTAGCAACAGTCTCCACAAAGAGTGCATCTGCGCACACTGGTTGAGAGAAGCGTATTGGGTATTTCGTCGATTCGCAGTGTGATGAATTATGGCATAGTGGACACTTTTCAACACTACTGTTATTGCGGCATGACACTTGGTAAGCGACACCACCTTGAGATTCCTGCACCAGACACTGTGACGTCATCAAACTTCGAAGGCATCTACTGAGTCCTGCGTACCTTCTAATCGATAAAATTGAAGAATAATGTCATCAGTGGATGCCATAAACCTAGCATACAAGGTTTCAAAAAATTTCATTGAGCCAATATTGCGAAAATAGAAAAAATACACTATGGTATTTATTAAGTCACGTGGGGAGGTTACGGTGCGGAACGCAAAAATTAAACTTCAACCTTTACTTCCTTTGCTAATAATGAACTTATGGGTGTGAAACTTATGACATCAAAGTTCTCATGTGTAGGCTATCGATCAAAAACAACTCATTGTTTCTCTTTAGTACCCCTTTAAAAGGACACAAAAGTCAAATAACAATTTTGTCAGGAGTGAAAGCTCAATTTATGACAACATCTAAAACGAAAATATTATCAGCAACGGTGCCCTACTTATCGAGAAATTAAGGTAAATGCACAAGAACACATGCACGACAGTAGGACATTCTCAAAATGATCCCTATTACATCAGACGGACTGCCAACAATTAATCACTAATTGATCTAACTATGGTTACTATAAGAAAAGGCGCGAGTGGTTAAGAAATTCAATTTTCACGTAGTTACGCTGGACAGGTGGTGCCATCTAGCGAGGCACAGTTAAACAAAAAAAAAAATGTCTGCGATCTCGAAGCCAATGGCGCGAAATTGGTCAATGGCCGTTGTTGCTGCTGTGGCTCCCGCTGCTTTCGGTCTGCTGCTAGTAGTGCAGTAAAGCCAAGCCACGCTGTGCACGGAAACAGTGACGCGAGTCGGATTGGTTTATGTCCAGTCAGTCCGCTTCTTCAAACGGGCAATGAAGTGCGCTAACCCGATGGAGACCACTGAAACAGGATTTCATTTTAAAATAGGCCTTTCCTTGGCACGGAGTCGCCGAGTAGTGAGAGCATGCGACGGACGCGAATCACATCGGCTCCGGCTCAGGTTCATTTTCAAGAAGAATTTCTTCCTGGCGACCCGCTGCAATGATAGAAACTTGTTCCTAGCATCACCACCGTCAAGCCTATACCGGACTTCAACTTGTGAGTGCGCTTTTAACGTCTTAACGCTTTCGAAAGTTCTTGAAGAAGTCCACCTCGCTAACCCTAACAAGCCGGAGACGCAGCTTGGACAGAACGCCGCCCCGCTCTACAGCGGATGGTGAGCGTCTCTGGGAGCATCGCAGCCGACGAGAAGCACTCATCGCCCTCTCGCTCCATGGACCACATGATGGATACGCAGACCAGTCAAGACGCCGATACACAGGTGAGCAATGAGCACAACGCACATCCATGGATCACTGTTACCAAGAGAGCGAACAAACACCGACAGCTTCAACCCCATACCGTACAGACTCAACAGCTGCCCAGCACGCCGTCTGAGCCCGCTCTACGCCAGAGCCGGCCCAAGATGCGTCTACCAAGACTCCCACCACTACCTGCCGAGGACTACAAGCTAGCAATCCGTTAAACCTGAGCAAGGTTAGTCCCAAGACTTTACTTCTCGCCGTAGCTCATGCAGCAAAGATACGCAGTGAGAAGCCCGATATCAAGCTTCGACTTGACGAAAATCAAAATGTGCTAACAATAAGCACCTCATCTGAACAAATCGCCGCGGCACTTGGACAAATCACCAAAATTACAGTGCACGCAACAACCTACGACATCACCTCTTATGGTATTGCGCCTGATAATTCGTGCAAAGGGGTGGTCAATGGAATAGGCCATGAAATCACACCAGACGACTTTCTGACCGAAGTTGAAGTACCGGGCTACGAGGTCCTTACGTGCAGACGCCTCGGCAACTCCGGAGCAATGGTGCTCACATTTTGTGGCAAGCGAGTCCCTTTCTTCGTCAATGCGTACGGACAGGCTCTTCGCTGCTACCTCTACAAACGGACTATTCCCCACTGTAGAAAGTGCAACAAAACAGGACACTGCGAGGATGTGTGCCCACAGCCTTCTGACACACCGAAATGTCGAGTGTGCGGGGATTCACTATCACCCAACAACCACGAGTGCCGCCCTTCTTGCATGCTTTGTGGTGGCAACCACCCGACGACTGCCAAACCATGCCAAAAGCAGTTTTTGCCACCAGTCAACCGACGCAAACCACCCCGGTCAGCTACTCCCACCAAGAAGGCCCAGTCACTATCTCCCAGTCCCGGACGGCAGAGCAGTGCGTCCGAGAGTGCAGCCAGGCGAAGGAGCCATTCCAGGGATAAGTCGGGGCCCAAGCGAGGAAACTCGTCATCGCGGAGCGGTTTCGCTGGCCAGCCGGGATCTCAAGGCTGGCACACGGACGAGACAACGCATCATCATGGCCAGCAAAGCGGTTCCCACAAGAAAGCACAAATGGTAAGCTGGGCAGGGCAGTTCCCGCCTCTCCCTCCCTCTCCACACCAGTTCCACTCCCTCACACAAACATCAACGCAGGAAAGAACATCACAACCAACACCACCTAGACTACCACAACCCATGTCAGTAGACACTCAGCTTCACCCTGACATGCCGTCAACTACGGCACGATCCGACTATTGCACACGAGAGGCGTTGAATGAAATGGCTAGTTCTTTAAGGAACGAATTCGCAGCTATGATGCAGGTAGAAATGCAGAAAATGAAGGATAGCATTATGGCTGCACTAACAGCTCCACTCCAACAATTGATCCAGCGACCCTGCAACCTGCTGTCCAGCAGATTGTAACGAATGCTAAACAGCAGATATCGGCTGCCCTTGGCCAACTTAATATTTCGCCATCTGCACCGAAATGCACCACGTCTCTGACACAAGAAACACAGCGACCGCATCCTTACATACGCCCCTCCCGTTTCCTATCATAGTCCCGAAAAACCGTTCCAACAGCCGCAGCTGCTGCAGTCCCGCTTCCCACCACCCTCCACCAAGATTTAGCACAGTCTGAAATGCCTCCGTGTACTACCAAGGCCCTGCTATTGCATGATCATGGCGAGAAACCGTAGGTCAACGCGTGACACCCCTCAACTCCTACGTGTGTGGCAGTGGAATTGCAGGGGGTATCGTAGGAAACGCGGAGCTCTAATGCGATTCATTGCGACGCAGCGGATCACTCCTGATGTCATAGCGTTACAAGAAGTACAATGTACCCCTACGCTTCCGGGTTACACCACATACACGGACGTAACGAACAATACACCACATCGCACAGCTACATTAGTTTCTAAGCATGTCACTGTCATAGAACACACCCTTTGAAAGCACCTCCATCTCACACGTACTTCTCGAATTAGTCCCGTGCTCTCGTTCCAGTAGCAACCTGTACGTGCTTAACGTTTACAGTGAACCTAACGCCAGGGACGATGACTTCGGTCATCTATTTGCACAACTATGCAAGTTGGGTAAACACATAGTTTTTGTAAGAGATTTCAATGCCCCCCATCCGGCTTGGGGCTACGCAACAGGCCGACGACTCGCACAGGTTCTCGCGATTCATCGCATGACCCTGCTGACAGAACCTGATCAACCCACTCGCCTAGGTAATAGTGTGAGCAGGGACACATGCCCCGACCTCACGATAGTCAAGGGGGCTAGTCACCATTCCTTGTGCAACCTCATGGTGAATATAGGCAGTGGTCACCATATACTAACTACAGAGCTCCAAGTAGCAGCCACGCGTGCCCCAGAGTGCATTATAAAACTAACAAATTGGGATGCATTTAGGCATAATCGTACAACTACCCATCAGGACTCTCCTTCCCTAGAGGCTTGGATATTACAACTTCACTCCGATTTTCAAAGAGCTACCAAACTCATCGCTGCGACGACAGAAACGCCGGATGTGGACCGGCATCTGCTACATCTCTGGGATGCCCACAGAGGCTTGACACAGCGGTGGCGGCGACAGAAACATAACCGAAAACTTCGTCTCCGAATCGCCCAACTAGCTACTCAGGCACATGACTATGGGAACATCCTCACTAGCAACAATTGGAATAACTTCTGTGATCGACTCAACGGCTCACTAAGTACACCTCGAACATGGCGTATACTCCGTGCTCTTTTAAATCCCACGCAGACAAAATCACACACTGCTAATGCAATCCGCACCATTCTCCACAAATCAGGGCTCGACGATACCACTCTGCTGCACACCTTAAAGCAACGCTATGTATTCACGGGCCCCCGTCCCGCCTACCGTGATTATCCACACGTACACGATACGCCTCTAGATGAGGACATTACAGAAGCAGAGGTTAGGGCAGCTTTACAAAGCATTAAGCGCAACACAGCACCCGGTACAGAGGGATTACGTACAATGTACTTCTGCGTAATTTAGATGACCAGTCCATAGAATATTTAACCGCTTTTTACAACGAACATTGGAACAACGGCACGCTACCACAGGAGTGGCGACACGCAGAAATCATACTTATTCCAAAGCCTGGCAAGCCGCTATCCCTCCAGAATCTTCGCCCTATATCCTTAACTTCATGTGTAGCTAAACTCTTTGAACGCATTGTCCTCTCTTGACTACAACCATTTCTCGAAGACAATCACTTTTTTCCTGATACACTATTCGGCTACCGTCCTGGTATCTCTACACAGGACGTATTATAACAGCTTAAGGAGGACGTGTTGGATAGCCCCACTTCAAACCAGGTCCGAGCTATTCTGGCCCTGGATCTGATGGAAGCTTTTGACATCTCCTACGACCTTATTCTTGACAATCTCGCTTCATCTCAGTGTGGCTCACGTATCTACAATTACGTCAGGTCCTTTCTTTCTGACCGCACGGCCACTATTGGGGATTTAAGACCTCCGTTCGGACGTCATTCGTCTCGCAGGCAGAGGAACACCACAGGGCTCGGTTCTCTCGCCCACTTTGTTCAACGTGGCTATGGCTAAACTGCCTTCCCTATTACAACAAGTTCCCAACATCCAGCATGCCATCTATGCAGATGACATTACAATTTGGGCAACCAAAGGATCAGACGGAACCATTCAGGACGCCCTACAGGAAGCTGTGTCTGTGGTACAAGACTATGCTGCTGCCGGCAGCCTTACATGCTCAGTGGATAAGTCGGAGTTGTTATTGGTATACAAGCGGTGCCGCAAAACCGCTGATTCTCCCGACATTTCGCTGTTTCATGATGGCCATCCTATCCCTCTGGTACCATGAATTCATATTTTAGGCCTCTACCTTCAGTCCGACGGCAAGGCCTCGCACACTACACACCTTCTGGTTCAGCAGATAACTCAAATTACACACATGATCCAACGCATCACCAATCGCAGGAGAGGCATCTGTGAGAAGGATGTCCTCCGCTTAGTACAAGCACTCATAGTTAGTCGGCTCACCTATCATCTTCCCTTTCACAATCTCACGCTAGCTCAAATAAAAAATATAGACATCCTTTTACGGACAGCTGTGAAGGCGGCTCTCGGCTTGCCTTCACACGCATCTACACAACGCCTCCTTCAATTAGGAGTCCACAACACCGTAACCGAACTCATCAAGGCCCAGTACAACAGTCAGCTCCAAGGGCTCAGGCAGACCCGTCAGGGCTGCGCCATCCTGTCTCGTCTTGGCTACCCGATTCCCCGAAAACCCGCACAAGTACCGCAACATAAACTTGCTTCTACTGTCTGCGCACTCATCAAAGTGCCTCCGATTCCACGCAATATGAATCCCTCCCGCCAGGCCGGTCGTCGACGTGCCCGAGTTCAGGTTATGACACGCGTCTTTGGTGATGGTACTTCAGACTTACAAGTACTTTACACTGATGCAGCACGCTACCCAGAGAAGTCAGCCATGTGTTTAGCCGTGACAGACGACACAGACGCCCTTGTGGCGTCTGCCACACTTAGCACTACAGACAGTGGTCTGGCAGAGGAGGGAGCTCTCGCTCTGGCAATTGCTCACGCTATGACACTGTCACATGACTCCCCTGTCACTATTGTAACAGATTCACAAGCTGCTTGCCGTGCTTTCGCTCAAGGACTTGTGGCTGCACATACACACAATATCCTCTCTTCTGTCTCACCGTCCGCATTACGCCCTGTGTGTATCGTCTGGACTCCTGGACACACCTCTCTCCATGGTAATGAACGCGTTCATGCGGTTGCCCGGGAGCTGACCGGCCGGGCTCCATTGGAAGAGCTGTCCAATCCAGACGACGCATCGACAGAACCACTAAACTACAACGCTACGCTGGAGTACTACCAACAGAGCCGTTATACGCATCCTCACCCTCATACTTCACTTAACAGAGCAGATGCTGTCGCTTGGTGGCAACTACAGACCAATTCATTTCCTTGCCTTTATATGCTAAATCGCTTTCATCCGACTCTCTACCCCTCCTACTGCCCCTTCTGTGGATCTGTACCGACGGTGTACCACTCCACGTGGGAATGCTCTGCCCAACAGGGCGTTCCTCCCATTCCCAATCCCCCCCCCTTCCTCTTGGGAGTCTGCACTGCTCAGCTTACGCCGGCAGGAACAGCAGCCGCTGGTCCAGCGGGCTCGCAGGGTCGCGCAAGGCAATGGAGCCCTGGACTGAGGGCCCCACCCAAAGAAGGCTCAGTGTGCATTTGTTATTAATAAATGTTTATTCTCTCTCTCTCCTTGGCACGAAAGTGATGCGACGAGCTTTCTGGACCGCTATTTCAACAATAAACATAGACTTAATAGTTGCCTTTAGTGTCCCTTTAAGCACACAGCTGTTTCTTCCTTTGCGGCACTGTTGAAGTATCCCTAGAAAAGCTTAGCCTGGCAAGCAAATGAGACGCCGATAAGAAGAGTACCCAACCCCACTATTACGTTCTAATCTCGAAATTATAGCGCGAGCATCCAACTCTTTTACATAAAATTACAATCCACGAGCACTGCATGTTAGATGACACACAAGCATTGAGAAGCTCAGAATTGAAAGGAAAAAAAGAAAAAATGTTCATACCGAGCTGTGCTGCCTGCTGCTTGGCCCTCTCACAGGCATCTTCGAGTGCAGTGATCTGCGCTCTGTGCTCAGAGAGGGCTGCTTCAAGCTGGAACGAGCTGCGCTCTGCACAGATCAAGCATGCATCAGCCTCACAGTGAATCCGACACTAACAACAATGTTCAGAATGAAATCTGTGTCATGTTAAGAGCAGGACACAGGGCAAAACATGGACAGGCTGATTTTGATTTACTGCAGAATGATATTTAATATTCAAGCTATCATCAAGTTCATTCAGGCCAAAATTCCTCAATTAGAATTGAGCACCATACCTCTTCACAAATGCATTTGAAACATTCAACCTAAAAGAACTCAATCGTGACAAAAAGTGATCCGTGAAACAGGGTTAACACACTGGCTAAATTTAAGGTGCTAGATGAAAACAAGCACTGAACTTTAAGCACTGGGTGTTTTTAATGTACATCTATAAATAACTACACAATCGATTCTGCATACAATATAAAGCAGGGTTTGACCAATGCACTTGAATATCCCATGAGCTCATACACTCAGAAAAACACAACAAACACTTGAATCCAATTAAACATGTTCAAGGAGTTATTACACAATAGACTGTTTTCAGCTTCCTGTCACTAGAGCAACCGATCACATGCAACTGCTTAGTGTTAAATGTAGAGGCAGATTATCAATTTAAAGATTACTTGGTGTTGTCCGGCAACATTCCCTGCCATTCAATTTGTTAAGTAAACTGGCTTTGAGTTAATGACTGTCGTGGATAAACAGGCCACCTGTCAAAACAAAGGCAGACAAATCAGAGCAAACGTTTGTCCAGCTCGATGAACTGATTATAATGAAACTTGGCCCCAATTCGCTCCACTAAAGCATGCTCGCTGGGCTGTCATACCATTCATGCTCTCTCTATAAACTGAAAACACAAGCAAAGAAAGGCTTTTATTTCTTTTTGTAGCGGTGTTTGCTAATAATGAAAGAAATGTTTTGAAAAAACAAACAATATTTCCAAAGAATGGTAAATAAAAAATAAGCCTTTCACTCAATGCATAAACAAACAGTTCCTTCTCATGTAGGCACCATCTCAATCGCATGAACATAAACACTACTGTCCAACCAGAGAAACTTTTTTTTTGAACTAAGTTGAAAAAAGTACCCTGAATTTTTAATGATTATACATAAAGTAAATAAAGCTTAAGCTTGAACAGTCCATTAGTAAGCAATGTTGAAATAGAATAGTTGGCAGATTCATTCAAGGCAAAACCACAAGAATGGAAATCAAACCTATAGAAAATGGGCCATCACCATTTGTCGTGTCATGAAAACTCCATTAATTTGGGAGTTTATAACAACGGGCCCGAAATGTTTGGGGCCCCAAAGCCCTTTCCGTATATGCCTACTTTGGGTCAAGCAGTTGCAAATATTTTTCTAACAAGGTCTGCGATGGACGCTTTGGACACTTCTATTCAGGTGACTCTAGTCTTGGCCAAGAGCCATCACTTCAGTGGCTGCCGTCACGTTTGGGTGGCGCAAAGCGTTTGCGGTGGACTTTGAGGCTCCAGCTAAATTTGAGAAATAGCATCCCCAATGCAAAACTTAAACTCTGTTTGGGTCTTGCACATGCGCAGTGGCCTCAACGCTATTTCTTTGGGGCCCCGAAATGATTAGTGCCCCTATTCGAAAACTTCCTATAATTGCAGTGTCTACAACTATCGTAACCTGAAATCATAATGAAAAAAATAATGCATGAAAAGCTCACCAGAATCAACCAAAAGAAAAATTAACAAGGCCCATGTGACTGGTGACCGCCGATTAGCTAGTTCAATATCAAATCGCTAACATTAAATACGGATATGACGTGTGCTTTCACTGTACAGTTGACTTTTTTCGCAGCAAATGTTTTATACTGAGACAGTAATGAGCAAATGAGTCACACTCGGGTCATCATTGCCTTGGTTTCCGTGACACAGAGATGGCAGGAGTTCTCGTAAATGTGGTTGGGGTTGTTACGTCCCCACAACAATAAGAGTTCGGTTTGCGATCTCAGTAAGATGTTAGGAATTCCCATTAAAGACACACGTGCGATAATCAGTCGTGGCGAACTTCCGTCCAGCAACGTAGAAGGCACGTTTGAAGCGTTACGAAACACCAAGACAGACGCACAAAAACACCACAGAAAGAATCTGAGGCGAGGTTACAGGTGCATGGTCCCGTTAAATTACGCGTAGACGAATGCCTCATTGTAACAAAAATTTCAGCGCTAAATTGAAAAAATTAACACGCGTCAAGCACTTGTGTGTTTGCTTGCTTGCAGCCTGGAATTCATGGCACATACCCCCTCTGTGATCGGCCGAGAAATGAACGGTAACTGCACTATTGCTTACAAAAAAAAGATGAAGACATATAAAAAAACAAAGATTCTAAGAGTGACAAAAAAAAACAAGGAAATATTCACTATACCTTGATTTGGGGAGCCAACCAGACAGTTGAGTTCTCCAAACCCCACTACTTTGGGATGTATGTCTCATATTTATTCACATTTCGAAAATTACTTCCCGACCCCTCTTCGTTTCTTATTCTCTTCTCATGGCTCATACCCAATTTAGGGGATTGACCGAGTGTTAGGTTAATTTCTTATCAGTGTTTCTTCGCAATACTTTTCGTAAAAGCTAGGAATAGTTATTACACTGTCTCCTCACTTGTCCAATCATATGAGCGCCATTTTTTTTTTCTTCCATTACAGGTTCCTACACGCGGCTTCATACCTTCAACAACCAGCGGTAACTGTGCACGTTAACACAGAACAGCTATGGATATGAGTAAGACACAACTTTAATACGGGAATTTTGAATTTAGTAGGGTAACTGAACCGTCAACATAGGTTGTCAACATGATAGCTGTCAGCGGAACAGTTTAAGTTCAAGGTGATATCTTCACGTACATGATAATATCGCGTCATCTTCGCGCTTATGAAAGCGCAGCTGCGTTGTCTCGAGTAGGCAAGATAGCTGTAATTGTAAGACGCTGCCGACTTACCGCATCGCGCCTTGAGTTGTGCGTTTTCCTCACGCAGTTCCTCGGTAGTCTTTGCGTTCAAGGAGACATAGCTCTCGAGCTTCGCCCTGCTGGCTTCGGCGAGGAGCTCTATTTCCTCCACGTCCAGAATATCTGTCAACATGACGCCGACGACTGCAATGCCGGCACGACTTCAAACGATTAACGGCGAAAAACACCCGCCATGTGCCCAGACAACCTGCTAGTGTACTAAAACAACGCCTCCCATACTTTGAGATGCCTAGCACGTCGGCCGCTATACTATTGTTCACCCACGGCCACCGTGTTTTACAAGACTGCCCCAAGGCGGCGCCAGCTTCTGACACTACGCTTCGCCACAGAAAGTCATTATGCTAGTCGCTCTGTGGAGCTTCGCAGCGCTCATCTTTGTGAAAATTTTGTCCTTCAAGGTTTGTAGGGCTTAGCAGAGTGAAAATAAAGTCAAGAACGAAAATAAAAATTAAATCAAGTGGAACTACACTAGCACAATATTTATTCACTGCAGCAAAAGGCCAGCCTAAGCATTCTCTGCCAAAAGCTGGGGTGTGCTGCAGATAACGCAATATTACAGTACGGCAATAATACGAATAGATATTGCTTCAACATAAAAAAGAAATAACATCGATGTAAAGCAAGATCAACTGCAGGTTCATGCACATAATGGCTAGAAAATTGTAAACAAAAAAAAGGGAACATGTATATATTTTATCACAGGAGTAAGTATCAGAGCTATACAAAATAGCAGCAGCCTCGGATGTGAAGAAAAAAATGCAAAATATTGGTAGTCAAAGAAAGTGTAAAGCAGAATATGACTTTGTTGTCACAGACAATGGTAAAAAACGAGGGGCATCATCATGCATATGTAGCGAAACTAACAATTTAAAGCGAATAGGGTGGAAGAAGAGCTCCCCAATCCATGACACTGCTATCACAGTTGATGTCTGCAGTCTAAAGAAATCACTTCACTGAAAAAAATCGAAGAACAGAACCAACATATGCCGTTTCAAAGCTTCAGTACTTTGCGTGACAGCGGCTTGTTGTGATACATCTTAGCCACTGCATTTCTGTCACTTATGTCTAATGCATGGTTTAAAAATAGGGGCTTCATAAATTTTTTTGCATATTACTTTAACAAAAGCCTCTCTCTGGTCATCATTGCAGCTTTTACATTTCAACACAGGCAAGCCTGTGATTGCACTGACACTGTGCTGCAAACACTGCTCCATTGGTTTCAGGAGAGCTTTTCTGTCTGACCTGGCTTCAGCATGCGTCTCTTGGTATCTTCGCGAAAGTCCGCATCGAGCAAATGAAGGCTGCAGACAGCTGAGTAGTTGGATGTGGAATTTGGCTGCCAGTCCTTTCTTGATATAACTTTCAGCCATTGTTCCCGGAGTGTTGCATCTGCAGGTATCTCGTGGAACGAAACGCCAGGCTGCTTCTTGCGCTGGCTCGAGGTGCAAAAAGGCACGCAGCAGTACCGCATGGCTGTGCTTCAGCTGCGGTTATTAGATCGAGCTCCGAAGAGGCAATACGCGCGATAAAAAGTAGCACGTGGCGCCCTCAGAAAAAAAATGACCAACAGCATTAGCGCTCACTCCGAACGGGCTACCGCAAAGACTGCGCGGGCGCTCGCCTGCCGGCAAAGTGCACGATAGTGTCAGAACACAGCGCCGCGGCGCGGCGGTGGCGTGCGTAAACAAGAGAGGGTCGCGCGGAGGAATCGGCGCCGACGCGCCAGGCATCTCAAAGTACAGGAGGCGTTGACTAGAATGGGGCAGTGCATGACCTCCTTATAGATTGGCGACCTGCTCATACTGGTTCTCTCTACGGCTGCACTTGACTCCAACCACCTCCAACTTTGGAGGGTCACGTGTTTGTCTAGTTACAAAAGTGGCACGAGAGGCCGCCTCAACTTGACCCCATAGCAGCCGATGCGACAACTTGAAAAGTGCGTAGCTCCATCGGAACGGTTCCCGCATTTCGAGTGTTCCGCGGCAGGTTTTTTTTTTTTTTTTTTAACCGTCGGAATGGTTTCTAATGTGCCGCGGCAGTTATATTTTTTTCTTTCTTTAGTAACTTGCGTGATGATCTTGGAATTTTTTGTTTGACTAGTGCGCAGAGACGAGGCCGAGAACGTGAAGTAGGCGCATTGACGGCATGCCTCGGCTCATTGCAGCGGTCCCAACAATTACTCGACGTGGCTGCTGTGTGTGTGCTCTGTGAAAAACTTTCTGTGCCGCTGTATGGTGAACATTCACGCGTTCTTCATCGCGACACCGTTGTTAATAATGTCGGCATTGTAATAAGAATGTCAATGGGAGCCCTGCCGTGCGCGACTAGCGGTTCTCACAGGGTGCTGCCGTTTAAATAAAAACATTGATGGCACTTGGTTCTTCAGACATGACATATCAATGTCTTCATGGTCAAGGAGTCTGTTATTATTCACTGAAGTAGGAACATCTAAGGACTGTTGTAGCTGTGCAATTTATTCCGCCCATTTGAACGAATAGAAGTGCCGAAACTGCAATGCTCACATTTTCGTTTCTTGTAGCACATTGAATCATCCGAGTCTCAGTTTCAGAGTTGGAAGCTTTTTAGCGCACGTATTGGTTCGAGATCACGAATTACATGGAGTATGATTAGCTCCATGCTTTTTTATAAAGCAACGTAAGCTACGTATAACCCCGAGCATACTTAACACACCGCTTTTATGCATTACGTGGACCAAGTTGCTGAACTTACCATACATTTAGCGTGCTACAAGCAGCGGCACTTAATCATTTGTCCCATTGAAACCAGCACACTTATGTTACTTACAAAGGCAAAATTCAAATGCATTCTCTGTAACTGCAATTGACCCGAATCTTTCTGAAAATATATTTTGCTGCACTTCCCTTAGTAGAGCCTCTTAACTGCTGTGCCCCTGATTAACCCACTAATTAAATGCTTAAGCCCATTATTTCAGAAACTCATCTATGTTACACTAAAGAAAATTCTCATGCAGAAGGAACACATTTCATACATTGTGAAATTCCAGTACATTTTATTTGTTTGCCAAGCTCAAACCTTGAGCACCTTTCGCGACTGTGGCATGGCGTGCAGCAACTTCCTTTTCGCGTGAGTCTCGGATACGTTGCTAGAAAAATTTGCCAGAATGGGTCGCAGAAACTTCACGAGAATGAGCTTAACAAGTGCAGTTGTATGGGCTACACTGTCATTCCTTTCACATTTGAACAGGGGGCTATTAATGACAGATGAAAGCATGGCACACGTGAACTTCTGCAGTGGCTGTGGTCGTTTGATCAGCAAAGGTGCCGCTCGTGAGGCAGCATATTCAAGCAGGCTAACAAAGCCAACAAATGCTATGCTCGGGTACGACATTGCACTCCTATCAATGCCTGCAATTATGGCAGTTGTCGTCGAGTGCGACTTCGGCGATTTGAGCTTCATGATGCATTCTTCACACTCAGCCTTCGTAGGTCTGCGAGAGAGGGGGGTAAGTTGTAGCGCCACGCTTTGCCGTGGCAGATCAAAGAACTAAAAAATAATAAACAAGCAAAAACAAATTTGGCGCGCAGGAGCGTCGCAGCCCGGGCAGGTCGCTAATCTATAGATAAAGGAGGTCGTGGGGTAGTGAAGGCCCACAGAACAGCAACCAATTTAGAGAACGGAAACTGTACCTTTGGGCTGTCATATTAAAATAACATGCAAATTTGTAGCGGCGGCAAACTGAACTGCAATACCGCGAGGCGAGATGGCGCTAGCAGTACTACCATCCTCAATAAACAGACGCATATTTTTGTTGTAGGTGAGGGCTCGCGGCTGGTTGGCGCTGCTCGCTGCCTCGGCTGCCTTTTTCTTAGAAGTGTGGCAGCTTGGGCTAATTGGTATGGCATGACGATAGTTATAGCGTGAGAACAAAACGACGACACAGAGACAAGAAGGACACGAAAGACACGAGCGCTAACTTCCAACTGAGTTTATTGCGCAGAGCACGAAAATATATAGAGGAGACAGAGGAGGAGAGAAAAACAAAGACAAAAAACACAAAAACAAAAGCACAAAAAACGGCTAAGAAAAATCTATAAAAAAAACGAAACAGAAAGGTAAAGATAATATAACTACCTGCGCGCACCGAAACCTTCGATGAACCTGAGTGTAGGTGTTCTGTGCCTGAGTTACTTCTCGGACAGAGCCACGGAGGGCTTGCTAATACAAGACACCTGTTCGCGTGCCATCTGCGCGGCCTCGACAATGACTCGGGTCACAGTGACAATGACACGAGTCAAGGACACGGCGACGCTGTACAAACACAGAGATGAGCGCACCCGTGTCATTGTCGAGGCCACGCAGATGGCACGCGAACAGGTGCCTTGTATTAGCAAGCCCTCCGTGGCTCTGTCCGAAAAAGAACTCAGGTTCCTCAAAGGTTTTGGTGTGCGCAGGTAGTTATATTATCTTTACCTTTCTGTTTCGTTTTCTTATAGATTTTTCTTTGCCATTTTTCTGTGCTTTTGTTTTTGTGTTTTTTGTCTTTGTTTTTCTCTTACTCATGTTCTGCTCTTTGTGCCATATGGTTTTTATCACATCGTTACTGTCTCCTCTATATATTTCGTGCTCTGTGCAATAAACTCAGTTGGAGGTTAGCGCTCGTGTCTTTCGTGTCCTTCTTGTCTCTGTGTCGTCGTTTTGTTCTCGCGCTATAACTATCGTCATGCCTTTTTCTGCGTTGCTAAATCGCGCTTCGCGTCTTTAATTATCGCCAGGTGACCTAACTGGCCTCGACTGGCAAAAACAACGTCAATCAAGTAAGGTATGCATCGTTTATTGCGAGTGTCCAAGCCGGTACAACCAATGTATACGGTCAGGTCTGAACAAGACAAGTCACTCATACATATCGAAATGTTTCAACCCATGTGTAAGTATACTCTTGAAAGCTAACAAGCATTTGCATATAACTGAACATCGAGATCGCTGAATGAACGTCGCTTTCATTGTGTTGCGGCATTCGAGTTTAATAGTGTGGCTTCAAGACAAGAGTCCGATTCTGCCGTCAGATGCGGCGCTTGCCCTGTAGTATTGATCTTGAAGTGAATTGAAAGCATGACGTGGGATCGGGAAGAACACTTGCACATTGCCGATATATAGCTCAAAAAGTGAGAGCAATGTAGTTTTGATAAATTTGTTAAATAAGAAATTGCGGATGCGTGCAGTTCTGAATTTTTCTCGCTCTACAATGCTACATCGAGTATTTCACAATTGTACAATGTCGCGTCGTGTCGACACGGTAAGCACTAGTTTTAACTCTCAGCCGTAAGCCCATATCATAGGTAATATGTATTTAGGTAATGGGCCTAAAATATTTCAGGCTTGCTACATTTTTGTCAGAGTTGAGTTACATAGTTACTACAGCTAGAATTTCTCGTCGCAGGTAATGACCGGCCTGCTGAGAATGCAGCGAACATGTATGCTCAAGGAACAGTTATGAGGTGGGTGCTTACAGATGGACACGGCCCAATTCTAAGAAAATGAGCTTCAAGCATTCATTGTACAATTTTCTTGTTTGTACATCTTTGTTGGTGCTCTTACAGTACACTATCTGCTTAGCGCTGAGCACAATTCCTTTTTTGCATAGACATATCGATAGTACTTGAGCACTCTCTAGCAAGCAAGCACTCCTGAAATCAATTGGTGGTAATGATGTGAATCTGTCAAAATACTGGATCAATAAAGGTCACATTTATTACACACTTGTTATTGTGTTTACTTTTTCAATATACTTGTGTTTGAAAGCTTAAGTTGTTTTCTCCCTGCTTTCTTTAGAGGTTAGGACTTGAAATACGTACTATCTTGCAGTGTGGCTGTGGATAAGTCAAGAGCATGTATGTTTCAACTACCTGTGCGATTTCCTAGATTTTTCATGACGGTAGCACAGAATTTCACTTCGTAGTGATAGACACTGTTGCTATGACAACTTAATTTAAACAGAAGCAGATGTGCTCAAAGAAATATGAGACGTTTCTCTGCTATATATAAAAAAAAGAACAGTACCACATCCAATGAACACAAACTTGTTCTTCACGACAGCATTCACATCTTTGATGAAGCTGTGCTGCAAGTGCTTACCACCTTTATAATTTATTATTTTAGGAGCCCTTTGAACATATGTGCAAAGCTAAAGCAGTTGAATGCAGCCTTATGAGATTTGGTGCATCTTTTTCGTAAACTTGTATGAGCTAAACACAGTTAAGACAAAACAGTTCTGGGTGTAGTTCGGAAACTGTCACAAGGCACAACTAAATGTCCGAGAGCCTATTAATGCCTCTCACTGTAGGGGGTGTTCTTTTTGTAATGCAATTAATAATTTCTCACGATTCGCATGCCAACTATGAAATGATCATGAGTCTTACAGTAGTGGGAAAATTTAGATTGATTCTGGCTTCCAGAGGTTATAACAAATGACATTGTAGCCTCGCAGGAGACAAGACTGCTTGTCGAAACATTTGATCCTACGCCTCATGTTCACAGATTTTTGCATATTTTCAAGCTTCCATCTTTTAAGGGTCACCCACACCAATGGGAACTGGGTCAAAGCTGTGCACGAGAAGTTCAGAAATTGTGCAGCACAAGTTCAGCAGTGAATCACAAATGAATGACAAGGTGCCGACAAGGTGGAATCCTTATTTTTGTTCGCCATATTTAGTGAGGCAGAAACAGCTTGTCAAAACACACCATGTTTGTAGACGTGGGTACGGCACCTACGTCTAATGCTATGTTGTTTGTTAAGCTGTGTGCGCAGCTGCACCAATCCAGAGCCGTCAGAGTAGGAGGTGCAGGAAAATCATGAACTAGTTTTAGTGCTGTACCTCTCCTGTGTTTTTTCAATATAAGCGGCGCGGTTTAGAAGATTGCATTGCTGCACCACTAAAATGAATGGCGAGGTGCAGCACTTTGTAAAATAGATCATGTGGTGCAGGCGAATCGAACAAACCCTTAGGCATACAATCGTCTTAGCATTTCACCCCCATCGAAATATGCCGGGCCATTGAGGCTGGGATCAACCTGTGTTGTTGAGCTCAGCAGTGCCACCCAATCTAACTAATAGTGTATCAGTTTCAATGTTATTGAAGTGTAGATTCCATGCAATGGTAAACATCCAATGCTTGTGGCCAATCTAAAGCACCCCTCCACGATATGCGTGGCAAAACATTCACAAATACAGCATTGCATGTGTGACGTTTGAGATGACCTGTTGTAGTGGACGTTCAGATGTCTAAACATGCTTGCAGAGTGGTCACTCAGGGGTAGTCTTCCTGTCGTTGCATGGCAGTCTGGAACAACAAGTAACATTACCAGATATTAATGCATGAAATTTCCAAAGTAAACAAATAAACTCAGTTAACTAGTAAACAGCAGTATTTTACACATATATGTAATAGTACCTCATAACACGTGTATCACTCAGGGCTGCTTCTTCACAAGGCATGTCATGTAGGAGGTTCCTTGCCCACTGTACACAGCTGTTTCCATGTCAGGTTGGCCAGGAGGCTGTGGCAGAAAAAGAAGTATTTCCAAGTTATGTGACACTTTTTCTGTCACACTATAGCAAAACCACACCCATAATTATGTGATATTTCTAGACACTGTAGTATAGCAGCTTCAGCCGCGTTGAGCGCCCCTAACAGGAAAAATTCACACCAACTTATCCGACCGCTAAGAGAAGAGTTAGTAGGTTACTACACGCGCAAATGACAAAGCTCGTCGCGGTCGATTTTTTTTTTTTTTGCACTCTACGGCCATCACGGGAACTTGAGAGTTTCCGGGGCCTGGTAGGCCCCTGAAACTCTCAAGTTCATGTGATCACCTGTAGGGGGCAAAAAAATTAACTGCGGCGCGTTTCTGCTTCAAACACCCAGAGTGGATCTTCTAACCTCTCATCGCCTCTCGCACTATTGTACTTTTTTGTAAGGGCGCCCTCGTCGGGGCCAAAGTTCAATTCTAAAATGATCAAATACATCTTCGCGTACCGCTACACATAAAAAACAACTTGTTCTTATAGCAAGTAGTTTTCTTAAACATGTGCTGTGTCATAAAATTTTGTAATAGTTTTCGCTCCAGCTGACTTGTAATCAGCAGCAGCCTATCGACTTCATAATCCTCATTTCAAAATATACCGTGACGGCGGCTAACGATAGTTATTGCGCGAGAACAAAACGACGACACAGAGACAAGAAGGACACAAGCGCTAACTTGCAACTGAGTTTATTGCACAGAACACGAAAATATATAGAGGAGACAGTAATCATGTGAGAAAAACCATATGGCACAAAGAGCAAAACAATAGTAAGAGAAAACAAAAACAAAAGCACAGAAAAAGGCAAAGAAAAGTCTATAACAAAACGAAACAGAAAAGTAAAGGTAATATAAATACTTGCGCACACCAATACCTTCGAGGAACCTTAGTTCTTTCTCGGACAGAGACCCGGAGGGCTTGCTAATGCAGGACACTTGTTCGCGTGCCATCTGCGAGGCCTCGACAATGACTCGGGTGCGCTCATCTTTGTGCTTGTAAAGCGTCGCTGTGTCCTTGAAAAGGGGCACACAGTTGCACTCAGTGGAGTGCTGAGCAAGAAAACCATCTTTCCCGTTTCTAACATTGTTAGCGTGTTCTCTCAGTCGATCGTTCCGACACCTTCCGGTCGTTCCGACATAAGGGGCACCGCATGAAAGGGGGGTCCTATAGACAACTTCCTGGGAGCATGCCACATTACCTGTTTCTATGTTGAACTCTGCATTCAGTTGATGAATGCGTTTTCAGGGGGTTTGTAGATTTGGTGAGGCTGATTAATTTGAACGGTACAGAGAACAGGACACGAACTCCAACTCCATTTACGATTTTCTTGAGCCTGTGTGATATCTGGTGTTTGTATGGAATCACGGTTATCCTTTCACGCTATGTATCCGTGTTGCTCGGATTCTGTCGCTGCCTCTGCTCTGCCTTATTAGTCCGCAGGATAGTCTCAGCAACGGAAGCGATAAACGCCTCGGGGAAACCCGTAGCCTTAAGCCAGGAAACTTGAGCTTTGAAGCTCGCAGAGATATTGTGGGCGCACGACCTATTAAAGGCATTCTCAAGACAGGTTCGTGCTATGCCTCGCTTAACTAACTGTGAGCGGAAGAAAAAGGAAGTAAAAGTTTCTGCGCACGTGGTTCATAACACAAACAGATGTGCTGTGAGCTAAAAAACAGTCTTAAATCCAAAAAGCGTGACTTGTCATTCTCGGGCATTTCATGTGTCAACACAAGAGGCTTTAAACAATTTTCGAACACGCTTGTAGTTTGAGTGGCCAACGAGTGAAACATAGAAGACTTACAATTTAGAATAACCAAGAAAACATCCACGTATCTAAAAATTTTGACGACATGCGAGCCTTCTAACTTTTCCTGCAGTTTTTTGCCCATTTTTGCCAATAGAAGATCACTGAGTAGAGGTGCTATGCATGGACCAATTGAAACACCCTTTTTCTGCAGATAAATGCAATCATTCCATTGAACGAATGTAGACGTAAGATACAGCAAAACCAGGTCAAGAAAATTCCGCGAACTAATGCCAGTTTTTAATTGGAAGTTCAATTCCCCGAAAATTTCTATGTTATCCCTTATACATTCTAGTACCTCATCGTGAGGCAGAGAGTAGTATATATAGGTCCTTTATGTCAATTGAAAAACCGAAAAGATTAGATTGATTTGACTGTTTGAAAAATTCTATCAGAGCCTGCGAGTTTTTGATCACAAATGGGTCGTCAATCTTTAGACACTTTAGATGGGTCTGAATAAACAAGCCGAGTTGCTTTTGCCACGTACCACTTTCTGTCACAATGACACGGAAGGGCATGTCAACCTTATGTGTTTTGGCAGAAAAAAACATGCTGAGCCCATTTTTGTCACTTTTGCTAATGTGCTGTGCTAACTGTTTTAACTCTAGTTTACGACACATTTCGCTGGCCTGCGTTTTTACCCTATCTAGACGAATGTCGGTACAACATTTGAAAACAGATTCGATAGCTGTGACCGCCTTTTCCAGGTACAAGCAATTAGGAAGAACGGTGAAACCACCCTCCTTATCTGACGGCACGACACAAAGTTCATTGTCTCTAAGAAACTTGGTCGTCTTCCGCACCGGAAGGCTGTTGCTGGTAGGCCTACCCCGTAGGAGCACGTCGACGCCTTCTGAGATGCACCTGTCTGAATCCTCAGGTGAAGCATGGCCAGCCACAGAGCGCACCATTGAAAGAAGCTCAGGTGCGGACCTCCCTCGGTCGACGGCGAACTTCGGACCTAGAGCGAGGGTGTTGTGGACGTAGTCTGGGAGAACAACGTCACTGAATGAGTGGACGACACCTGATTGCCGAGGCTCAGATGGGCGCTGCGCACGAAGGCTGGCGAGCTCACGTGACCACAGGCGGTTTGCAGTGTACTCAATTTGGTC